CTAACCCACAGGTAATTGATATAAAACGGTAAATGAAGACAGTAGAAAGCTCTCTGCTCTTTTGTCTGAAGTGTGCTATAAGGGTTATGACTCTCCCTGCATGGGAGAATTTGGCATATCAAGCAGTCATCTACTGCAGCCTAAGGAATGAATACCAGCATACTTTCACTACTACAGAACAGCTTTGATTAAGTTTTTCCTTATTCTGGTCTGGACATTTTTTACCCTATAACTTTTTACTAGTGCACTAAATCTAACTCCATTCTCTGGGCCCTAGGAACAATGGGCTGGGGGTGTGGCTCAAGCAGTAGCGCACTCGCCTGGCATGCCTGGCATGCGTGCGGCCCAGGTTCTATCCTCAGCGCCACATACAAACAAAGATGTTGTGTCCGCCGAAAACTAAAAAATAAATATTAAAAAAATTCTCCCTCCCTCTCTCTCTCTCTCAAAAACAAAACAACAACAACAATAAAACCACCTGGCAGAATATGGGCCAAATTATAAGGTCCATATAGGACAGAAACATTGGTTAGTTTTATATACAAAGGAAACCCAAGGGAGAGCTTTGATCTGTGAAGGAATGGATGCACAACCCCTAAGTGAATGAGCCCTCTTCACATTCCTGCCAGTTGTCTCCTTGCAAATATGTTGAAAGAGACTAATAGACTTTGCTAGAAAGAAACATAGTTCTGTCTCAGAGTTAGAGGCCTGGATATTGGAAGTTTAACACAAAAGAAGCTGCTGCTAGAATTTAGGGCAGGCACGCCGTAGCTTACTCAACACTACTACAAACTGCCAGGTACCATGGAGGGAGAGGTGTCCATAAAGTAGTTCTAAGAAAGCATATTCTCAACCAAGGGGCCACCTGTCCTCTAGGGGACAAAAAAAAAAGGGGTCTGTTGTATTTTGTTGTTGTTATTGTTGTTGTAACAGGGACAATACAGTCTTAACAATATCTTATCTAGACTTCTTCACTAGTTTAGACTAAAGGTTTCTTTTGGCTTTCTAGGACAGGCTGTGCTCATATATTTTACTGAGATAATCACTGTAACTTTACTTACATCTTGTGTAATAGTTGATAACCCAGGGATCAAAGCATTATAATGCTGGTGGATGGGTAATTTTAGGTGCTTTAAGTTTCATTTTAAAATTAACACACATTAAAATTGAATTTTGTGAGGGAAGGGGTAAACTATTCTACCACCACCACAGCCAAGATACAGAATAGTTTCTCTATCCCCAAACCCCTCTTCATTATACAACTTTGTGGTCATAACATTATTTTACTCCTAATCCCTACCACCACTGATCTGTTCTGTTAATTTGGAGAATGTTACCTAAATGGAATAAGAGAGTTTGTAAAATATGTTTTGGAGGGAAGAGTAGTTTCCGGGAGCCTCACACATGCTAGACAAGCTCTCTACCACTGAGCTATACCCATGTGTACACCCAGTTCTCTAGGCTACTTTTGAAGTGCCAAACTGGAGGAAAATGTGAACATAGTTTCCCTCCCACCCCTCTACTACCTCAAAAGTTATGCAGCTGAGATGCCCACATTTGGGGGAAACTGCAAGGGTCAGCACATCCTTAGTGCAATGGATAAGCCTTGCCCTGGAAAAACCACCTTGGTGATCATGGTGTCTCCCTTGCCAGGTAAGTACTGTGTGTAAACTTTTGAAACTGGCTTCTTTTGAGATCCATCCAAAATGTTACATGCATCAACAGTTTTTTGTTTGTTTGTTTGTTTTGYTTTTACTGCTCAGTAGTATTCTGTGTTTGTTGATCCATTTCCATTCACCTCTTGAAGAACATCTGTATTCTTCCAACTTGGGGTGATTTTGTAAAAAGCTGCCATAAACACTTGTGTACAGGTTTGTGTGTGGATCTAAGTTTTCATTTGTCTGTGGCAAATAAGTAGAATTACAGGGTCATTAAGGCACAGTTCACCCTTTTGAGAACCTGTCAAAGTGTTTCCTATAATGGTTGTATCATGTGCATTCTCATCTTAATAAATGAATGCACTGCTCCACATTATCCCCGAGACATGATATTGTCATTTTTTATTTTAGTCATGCTAACATGTAGCTTTAACTTGGGCTTCTCTAGTTTAGTTGCCAGCCATATATCATCTTGGGACAAGTATTCTTCTTTTGAACTTTTAATTGGGTTGTTCTCTTACAGAGTTTCGAGAGTTCTTTATGCATTTTGGATACAGGTTCTTTTTTGATAAGTTTTCTTTATAAATATCAAATGACTGAAGATGGACAGGAAATACAATTTCTAGTTACTGAAGTGGTTTACTTATATTTCCATGAAATTCTAAAATCATAGTTTATGCTTTATACCTTTTACCACTCCTAGTCCTCATTTTTTAAAAATAATTTTTAGTTGTCAATGGCCCTTTATTTTATTTATTTATATGCAGTGCTGAGAAGCAAACCCAGTGCCTCACACTGAGCCACAACCCCAGCTCCTCCCAGTCCTCTTTGATAATCAAGGGGGTTTTCACACAACTCTGCAGTGCTTTGGGGGATTTAGGAATGTAAAGCAACTGAATTGCTGAATTATGATCTAGTTCTCTGTAATCTTCTCCCTAGATATAAATTGCTTTTATTTTTTGCTTGAGAAAGGATTATTTCCAGTGTGTGGCACGATGAGTTGAGGAAGGGCAGAAATAAGTGAGGCCAGAGACAGGCTAGAATCTGATCATACAGCAAGCACTACAGACCATGGATTTTATTTCCTGTTCAATAGGTAGTGATTAAAATATTTGGAGAAGAATTTTTGTTTTATTTATTTGTTTTTCTTTTCTTTCTTTAGATTTTGAGACAGGAGTCTGCTTTGTTGCTCAGGTTGTCCTCAAACTTATAATCTTCCTGCCTCAGCCTCCTGAATAGCTGGGATTACAGGCATGAGTCATCATGTCCAGCCTGAGCAGAAGAATTCTTATTAAAGATCCTTCTGACTCCATTATAGAATGGATTAGAAAGTGAGTATAGGGAACTCAGGAGAATTAGAGACACCAGTTAATATATGAATAGTCATCTCAGTGAGAGATGATGGTGGCTTAAACTAGGGTGGTAATAGCAGCAATGAAGAGTAGATTTGAGATCTATTTTGGCCGGGAAAGTGACAGAATTTGCTGACGGAACATAAAAGAAGATAAAGGAATTAAGGGACGATTCTGAGTTTTTAGTCTTGAACAACTGAAGGATTTGGGTTTTGTTTACTAAGATGGGAGAGATTATCCAAGAAAACTTGCTGATATGAGGGGTAGGTGTGGAGTCCGGAATTCTGTTTGACTTTAACAAGTGTGAGATGCTTGTTAGATACCCAAATGGAATTGTTAAACAAGCAGTTGAGATCCAAAAGTCTGAAGCTAAATGGAGGTTTTAAATTAAAGATAGACTTTTGGGAATTATCCCAATCAAAGGCTGAAGTCACCAAAGGAGAAGACTATTAGTAGAAAAGAAGTCAAGGGTCTAACTCCTGGGGGACATGCCAACATTTAGAAGACACCAAGAGCAAAAAAAAAAAAAAAAAAGAAGACACTAAGAGCAACAATAAAATAGACTAAGAAGCTGTTGGTTTGAGAAATAGGAGGAAAAGCAGGAGACTGGTATCCTGGAAGCCAATCAAGGAAAGAATTTCAAAAAGGAGAGAATTCAGATGTTGGCCAGTTTCTTTCATTCATCAGCAAACTTTCTCAAGTGCTTTCACTGTATAAGACTCAATGGACAGATACAGCAGTGATCAGGACAGATAAAGTGTCTCTCTGCCTAAAGGTTCTGTATATATTTTAAGGATTTCAATGTGAAGTTGTATTAGGATTCTGGGAGTTCCCATCCTTAAATTTCAAGAACCTGCCTTAATATTCCCGATGATTCTAATTTCCCCCATTTTTGCAAAGAGACATCAATTTATTATTAGAATAGAAAGTTCAGAAYGCAAATTCATGTGGTTCAGTATAGCAATGACTGAGTGTCAGAGATGCATGAATAATTTAAAGGCCAAATAAAATACAGAAGCAGCTGCAGTATAGGAGTTACTTACACTAACATGTACAAATTACTTTCCTTCTCTGGACTCACCTAATCACTTGAGTAGGAATTACAGTTATATTCTTTTCAATGAAAAACCTCAATAGCCAAATCAAACTGTAATTCAGTGTCAGATGATGGAATCACAGGATTGTGACTGTTGGAAGCCATAACAATGAAAGTTCCTGTGAGTATATTTGGAAGAAGCCCAAAGACATTTTTTTTTTTTTTTGGCACATACACTTTTTCTAAAGGATATTTTTTTCATTCATTCAACAAATCTTTATTGAACACCTGATATGTGTCAGGCACTATTTTAGGAGCTGGAGTAAAACAACAAACAATAAATCTTTCTTTTTCCAGTCTGCACCATTAACATTTTCTGTAGCCTTTACCTTTTAAAGTACTTCGAAGATTAGGAATAGTAGTGACAAATTTTTTTTWAAAWTTTTTTTAGTCATACATGACAGCAGAATGTATTTTGACATATAATACATACATGGAATRTACATACATCAATCATAATGTCTATTCTATTCTGCTGCCCTTCCTATCCTCCCTACTCCTCCCCCATCCTTTCTCTCTATCCAATCTAATGTGACACATTTTTTTCTTTTTCTCATTACAACATCATAGTGTCCAAATTTAACACAGATATAAAATTTAAATATACCAATATTATAACATTATACTAATATAAAACTATGGAAGCAAAGTAGAAAATAACAAATACATAAAAGTCAAATATATAAAATGTGAGATGGTAAGAGAAGGCAGGTCAGGGATAATTTGCTTATGAATCCAATAAAACCCTACAATAACAAGTTGAGAATTAGACACAAATCTACAGCCAATGAGGAAAGGATGAGAAACAGAAGATCTTTATTAGAAGAAATTCCATCTATGAAAGGTCCTGAAAACATAGAAAGAAATAGGTTCCACATAAAATCCACATCTTACTGGTCAATGTATTTATTTCTTGGTCAGCTTTATGCAATTTACTGGTTAAAAAGTATTTTGTTCATTGCTTGATTGTAGCTTTTTTCCCAAACATTCAGCCTATAGCTTAGTTGACTTGTTTTCAGCTCCAGGGACTTAACTGTAGCCAGTGCATCTCAGCTAACTGTTGTACCTGTATTCTTTGGATATTTCCTAACTAAGCATTAGAATTCTCTTTTTCAGCCCTTAATTCTGGTACTTCAGCCTCTAAACCTTTTAATTTCTGAGTCAAATGGACTTTTTCTTGTACAAGTTGATCCGTTCATTTGTTATCTCTTGTGAGATCAACACTAAACAGCTGGTTATGTAGTTCTTCTTTATCTGTCTCCAGTCTTGCAATCTGATTCAAATTTTATTTTTTCTTATTCTGAAATGCATGCAAACTCTTCTTTCTGATACTCAAATTCTGACTTGAGAAATGTTATGTTCATAGTGAAGCTTATTATATTTGGCTCTATAATTCACTTCTTCATCCAGATTCTGTAAACATTCTCTCATTGGAGTTTCTAATTCTTGTTGTATTTGGGCTCTTAACAATTCCAATTTTTGTGGAGTTAACATCTGAAGTTTTATTTCTTCTAAGTCTTTAGTTTTCTCTACTAATTCCCCTTTTATCTTTTCAAGCAGTAGCTGAATTTTTTCCTTTTCATTCAATAGGCGCTTGAGTTCATTTTGTAACTTTATGTACTCACCCTGCAATCTGGTGTGTTCAACTTCAACAGTCTGATAATTAGTTTTATGATGGTCACATTGTAACTTTTCACCAATTAACATTTTTGGAACTCAGATTCAGAATTTAGTCCACTGTTTCCACCAGGTGGAAAAACGTTGGGAAAAGTGTCCATATTGCTAAGTAAGGTGACAACTATGTAAAAATAAGATGTGGCTTTCTTATTTAGTTCGTTTTTCAAAAGTATTTCCCACTTCCTTCTCACTAAGACAGACTCTCAGGAAACCAAATTATACCATACTTGCACACAGTCCTTGCTACATGAACGCAGAAAATTTAATGGTGATRGGTGTTCCTCCCGCCCTGGGAGGACACTTCCATAGCTCCAACCATCCATACCCACTCAACTGTGCTCTTGGTGGGGCTGAGGAAAAGACAGAGAGACTGAGCTACTATATGCTCAGGACTAATTAATAATATTAATCCATTATCTTTTATACAGTTGTATAGTATATATTTTCATAAACACAGTTTGGCTCCCTTAAAAGTTATATAAATTTTATCGCATTAATTAAAAACATAGTCTTTGGTGTGCACCTATGGTCTCAGCTACCTGGAGACTAGAAGTAGGACAAAAAACATACCTACCGCCCTCCCAAAAAAAGAAAGACAGACTAGGAATAGGGCTAGGGATTTGACTCAGTGATACAGTGCTTGCCTGGCATACCCACCTAAAATAAGGCCCAGGGTTAAATTCCCAGGATCGGGAAGTACGGGATGTGAGGGGTCTTCAAGGCCAGTCTGGGCAACTTAGCAAGACCCTATCTGAAAAATAAACAAAACCCCAAACTCAGTATCCAAACAGGAGGCAAGAAGAATTGTTTCCCTCTCTTGTTCTACACTCATCATGGCTTGCTAGATGCTGAGTATCATACTTTCACATGGTCCTTCTAAGCAATAACATATCCAGAGGTCCAGAGGGGAGGGCAGATGACCAGTGTGATAAGGAACTAGAAATCATAGAATAGTCAGTTTGGGGGACTAGGCCATAAAACTCTTGATGGGAAAGGGAAGGGAATAGGTTTTTTCAGGTTGAACATCCACAGATTACATTAAGATGAGTATGCTGCTATTGTAAGGAGTCATATTTTAGCTTCAAATAAGGAAGTAAGCACTTCATCACTGGGGAGGTGTACAAGCCTATTTAGGAGTCACTCCAACAATATGCTTGATTGAAATATTAGAGAAGTTAAATATGAATTATTCTAAGTCTTCTTCAGTAGTATTATGGTTAAGACTAAATTCTTATCCCTTGTATTCTTTCTTCCAACTCCTGCCTCTGATCAAGGGTTATCTAACAAGTTTGACATGTGGGAAGTAGCTTGAAACTCTGAAATCAATGTCATAATTCATAATATGACAAAATATATAGGTGCCATCCTTCCATTCATACATTCACCACTTAAATAATATTTTTGAGCTTTGCTGCAGCTTGGGATACAAGACTACACAGGGACTGTGTTTGTGAAATTTATATTCCTAGTGGAGGAAAGAGTTAATATTCCACTTTCCATACACATTTCCATATTAATATTTTTAATGCAAATATAATACATACTTGTGTTAAAGAGACAATAGATTTAAAATGTCTTCTTGTCTGTCCCCTTCATTTTCTTTCCCCATCCAAATAATCAAAGTTAATCGCTTCCAAACTTTTACCAATATATGCAAGAAAACATGCATGTGCTAACATGTATGTTACAGTTTTTCAAAAGAGAAACAGGGTCACATCAATCATGCCACTCTATAGTGTTTCTCTGCTTTCTTTGGCTATCTTCCTCGACAGTAAATGTAAATGTGTCTTAATCTTTTTTATTTTTAAGATTTATTTATTTATTTATTTATTTATTCATTCATTCATTCATTCATTTAATTTTTAATGTGGTGCTGAGGATTTAACTCTGTGCCTTACACATAATCTTTTAAGTAATTGCTTATTATTCCATAGTATACCTATGTTAATTTATTTAACCAATCTATTATTCCCAACTTTTCACTAACTTTACTACCCTTCCCTTTCTGATCATGGTTTAACCTCTCTGCTATTTTACAGCCCATCTCCTTTCCTTTTTCTTCCAGAGACCACAACTGCAAAAAGACTTTCTGTAAGGAAAAGGTCACAATTTTTGAAGGAGCCTAATCATTATGAATTGTTTTCACTAGCACAGAAGTAGCATATTAGCAGAGCAATTAGTTCTAGGAGAAGGCTCAGCAGCTTGCCCCACTGGTTGTACAGCATTTTCCAGGCTAAATTTCCAAGGCCCCCTTCCTGACTATTGCTTACAAGGAATGGTGCCTGAGGACCTTTCTACTTGGGAGTGTAAACAGCACCAGCCACACGCTAACTCAAAAATTCTTTCCTTTCTTATCTTCTTAAATTTGCTTCTCTTTGAAACTCTTTCCATTTCAAGCCATCTTAAGCATGTTTTGGGCACTCCGATGGAGACTCTCTTATTAATCCCCATAACAATTCTCTAAGATTKGTATTACCATCCCCTATTGTATATATGAGGAAATTATGGCTAGTATAGGTCAAATGACTTTGCCAAGTGAGAGTCAGGTTATTGAAGTTCTTTCCCCAACACCAGGAAGCTTGTAGCAAAGCAAAAGATGTAGCCAAGTTTTTATGARCCATCTGGGCAGCAGGAGATCAGTCTTCAACACACCAAGGGATCCACTTAGAGGCTACAGAAGCAGCAGCAGTTTTTGTTTTTGTTTCAATGGTTTAAAAATTCTACAGGAATTCTGATTGGCCCTATTGACAAGCTATCTAGGCCCTCCTGTCTAGTGACTTCTGACCCTCCATGCTTCTCACCCTAATTAATGCAAGATCCTTGGATCACAGCGTGAGCATCAAGACCCTTTAGAGTTAGCAATGACCTTTACATTTCTCAGGCTTTTCAAAATATGCAAAACAGCTGGGCACTGGGACCGCCCCCAAACCCTCAACCTTGAAATATGAGTAGATGCATTTTTTCCTGTAATTATGAATTTTGCCAAGTTTGGGGAAAATAACTTTTTATGTGACTAAAAAATAAATTTGAGATGTGGATGTTTTTCAATTACACAAGCAAACTGAGGCATGCAAAAAGAAAATTCTTGCAAAACGATTAATTTCCTCAGTAGCAGGAGAACAGAGAAAAAATTTGGAGGTGGGAGACTGACTTCCATACTTACGCCTCTGGTAACCTTTTGTTCTTCCACCTCATTGTATTAAGGATGCTAAATCAAACATGATTGCAGTGATGTTTGTGTGTGAAAATGACAAAAGCAATAGGCCAAAATCCCAACCTCATCTTGAACCCTGAAGACTTTTATGGCTTTTCCTTCACTAGGCCCTCCCCCTAATACACATTAAAGACCACATTGTTCAAAAGGGTCATGGTAGGTTTCATACTCCATTTTAATACAATGTAAATGGTAACTGAACTTCCAAGTTTTGTTAGCAATATTTATATGTCCCTGGAAAATGCCCAATAAAAGAACTGATCCTTTGGTTTAAATATTAATGCAGAATTATAATGTATCAGAGAGTCAGAAACAATGGTATAAAGAAGGCACTATTTATTTGTGGTGATTATATCAGATTTTGTTACATCATTTTCCCCAGGGRAAAAAAAATATGAATTAGAGATGAATTTGAAATATCCAGATGATCTGTGAAATATTTGCCCTAGGATCAAAAAAGTGTCCAGAATATGTCAAGTCTTAACTCAAGGAGTCTAAACTAAATTAAATCTGCTGCTTATTTCAAATGCATGCCTTCCTTCTTCTTACCTCTTATTCCACTTGTATGTCTGCAAGTCAGATTATAGCCCCCCAGTTGGCTTATTACATTTATCCCTGGAAGATTTTGAATTGGAAGAATTATTGAATTGGAAGGCTGTTTACGATTCCACTTTTCTTGGCTCTCACCATCAGCTGTCACCAATACTTTGGTGGTTTAGAGGAAGACAGGCAGCAATGACTCCATTACTCCAAAAGTCACTACCGAATTATTGTCTTACTCCTCTGGAAAAGGATACATACACTAAGAAAGGAATATTGTAGCTGGGTTTGGGAATGGGAAAGTTGAAAAACTTGGGAAAGGAAAAGTTAAAAAATGAAAATCTGGACTGCAGTAAAAGAACAACAAATTTGATGGTACTTCAAAAATCACAATCTCAATAGCAGAACGCTCACTTTCCCAAACTTCAGGTATTTTTGTTTAAAACCCAAATAATATGCATTAATATGTGTCATATCACAACTTCAGTGCATTTTTAAATAAGACCTAAGGTTTTTGTAGATTCCTTCAACAAGTCTGGTTTAAATGACCTCAAAATAACACACTAAGAGCATCTGTTTAGCTTAGTTGAAGTTTTGAGAGCCAATACCAGCTGCTGGGGGAGGGATTTCACACATGTGTTACTGGAATCCTAACTAAATCTTAGGTTTTTTCATTCCCTTAATGATACCTCCAAAACCAATAGAGTAAAGCAAACATTAGAATAAAGAAAAAAAGAAGGAAGGGATGAAGGGAATAAAGAGGAGAAAGAATAAAAGATTACTCAATGCTTTGATGCATGTAACCAAGACCAAAATGATCACCCTCTCCAATTCAATACAGTATTAGCATGAGGACAAAAGGCATTTAAAAATCAATTTGGAGTTATTTCTGGTGGGGGTTGCCTAATCTTTGCAAGCTAATGAATGAGAATATTCCCAAATGTTGAAAGGGCACTTAAGTTATTTTTTCTCCTTTAAAGAGCAATCTAATTTTCACAGGGAATTCATTCCATGGCATTGTTTTGGTTTTAGGTGTCTGTCCTGCCAGGCAGGGGCCATGCACAAGGGCTGCATCTATCTTGAAGTGTGCACAATGGCCTCTCTCGAAGCTCTCTCCCTCTGTTATTGATCCTTACAGATGCTCCAAGGCCCTTCCCCCACCTTTCTCCAAATCCCAACCCCCCATTCTGAAAGATAGCTTAAGAAATAAGACTTCCTGCCTAGCGACTGGCCAGGCTGAAAGACCAGATTGTATGACTCCACAGATCAGGCCGGCCACAGTGAAAGCTTGAATAGAGTTAACCCTCTGTGAACTAAAACAAAACATTTGTATGCCCAGCTGTGACAAAGGTTAATTTAAATGGACAAGGGCCCAATACCTAAAACCAGGCAATGCTTTTTTTACAGTAGCATTTTCACCGACCTCTTTTGTAAGCAGTTGAYTTTGTTTTTAAGCTTCCCTCATTCAGCTGGGTTAATTCATTTTGCTTTACTAGAATTTTGTAWGGAAGATTCAGGTGAAAAATTTTAAATTCACTTTCTTGTTTTATGAAGGTTCTTGTTTTAGAG